AAGCGTTCGTAATATTACTTTATCAAAATGGACGATAGAGGTCATCCGAAGCGTTCCATACGCTCCACGAACTGGAAATTTTAATTCCATTCGAATTTGAACATCGCAATTCAATGAAGTGTGACGTTTTAACAAGTTCGACTATATTAATTCATCGTTGTGATTGGACTTCTCTCTTTTATAAAATAACGCCTCGTTTTTTTCAGCGGACGAACTTTAGATGTTTGCATTGTGATTATTCTTCTACAAATATTTGCTTTGAACGTCCTGAACTTCATGAAAGGTTCTCTTTTATTGTTCCGCGACAAAAAAGATATACTCTCTTAATAAACGCGGAGGTGTTGGAGAAAGGGATTTTTTGAAATTTATCACGCAAACACGAAATAATGAGACGGTTTATGACAACGTTGTTAATGTGCTTGTTTGGTTTCTTCGCACGTTTCAACAGGTCCATATTATGAACAACAAATTGAAATATATCTGTAGAAATGAAGATTAATTTCTACCAAGAAAACTACAGTGTTAGCGAAACGCATCTAAAAATATAGAATGTTTATGTGTTTATTTGTTATCGTGAATAGTATCATTAATTTTCATTAAGTAACGTATCAGTCAATTCATAAATAGAAATAGTTTGATTTTTTCATTCAGATTTGGGATACATACAGACAGAAACCCAAAACAGTATCCGCTGATACATATACATATCTCCAGTTCATAGAAACAAAGAAAGCATCTTAAGTTATAGATAATAATGATAATAATAAGTTTTTTGCCCATCAAAATAACAAGATAATAACGAAATACAAAATACAAGAGAGAGAAAAATGGAAACATTTTGTATTTGTGCACGTTTCAACAGGTCCATATTATGAACAACAAATAGAAATATCTCTGTTGAAATGAAGATTAATTTCTACGGAGGAAACTACAGTGTTAGCGAAACGATTCTATGAATAAACCCAAAACAGTATACACTGATACATATACATATTTCGGACAGTATTTATTGAAGCTATTGCTAAGCCTTGATGGAGCATCATGTTAGTTTCTTAGGATTTTAAACATGAATACTAATTCCGAGATGACTGTTCGTTTCTTTAATAGTAAGATGTTAAATGTTAATCTAGCTGAATGTAAATTATCAAGGTTATGAACACCATTTACCCTGGAGTTTAAAACTCAAATGAATTCATTTTGGATTATCAGTCTACTATATACCTACAAAAAAAATGATTTGATAGCTTCTTGCTTGTTGAAAGTTTCGCAAATCCTACTAACTTTGGCCAAAATACAAAATAAAAAATAAAAACGTTTATTCACTACGATATAAAGATATTCGTTAAAGATCAAGAAGATTGAACAAACAAAGCAAATATAAATTGAATATCGAATTCTCTATGTAGGTATATCTACACATAACTCCGATCAAATAATAAGGTGAATTTTCATTTTTCTCAAAAAATATTCATTTATTAATCAATTTCAATAAGCACTTATTGGTAAGTCCTTGAGCTGTCTCAGCTATTCAGTGTTTATCTCATCAATCGTCGCAAAACACCCTCCTTTCATAGGTCTCTTCAATATTGGGAACATGTAAAAGTCAAAGATTGCCAAATCTGGTGAATACGGTGGCTGAAGCATATTTACGCTTGTTTGGGGGTGGTTGACAATGTTTCATGGTACATTTTATTAGTTCTGACTTCCTTTGTCTAGTATGATATAAATTGATTTGAAATCCCTGAAGAATCTGTAGAAAATCAAAGAATAAAAAGGTTAGCTGAAAAAATAACAAATATATTAAGCAACTAGCCCATTAGCAACTTCAAAATCGATTTCTGCAACATCAGAGGATTCAACTCAAATATAAACTCAGTGCACCAGCATATGCAATCAAATAGTCCTCATTTCTTGCACTCACAGTAACCAAAGTTGATTCTTCAATAAACCCCGTCAATTTTCTGTATCCCAGCTATGATTTCCATTCCCGATATAGACGTTACTTTGGAATATATCTTTTCATCGGAAGCGATCTCTTCTGTCAACGAGAGGAAATGCTGATGACGAAATTATGATTGTCCACGTCAAAAAAACTTGCATATCAAATTTTGTGCAAATAACTTATTTTTTGCAAATGTTATTTTGAGAAAACGAACAAAAAAATTCAATTTCAACACCCTGTAATCTACGAAACGAATCATTTCCGGACACAAGTTTATGTAGACTTTTTTCTTAAAATTGTCTCACTTGAAATTTTCAACTTACTTATGTTACACCCTGTATATTTGAATGAATATTATCATCTGAAAATTTGAGAATATCACCCCCCTTTTGAAGATTTGAAGGTGTTGCAATGGTTTTTGGGTCAAAACTTATCCCTCTTAAAAAAAATTGGTGCATTTTTGGGTTTTGGTTAAAGTATTTGTTCGCCTTGCAGTATGATTTTGTTGTTCCAAAGTCTAACAACATAAGAGAACCAATGAAAACTGATATGTACATTTCTATATATGTTTTTCGAATCCTCATTTGCTGGTATATTTCGAGGAACACATCGTACGGGGAACTCCATTCCGTTAGCTCCACCGAAGCGAACACTCGGTACATCAGTAACGGGTGCAAACATCCAAATATGATGATTAGCATGCACACAGAAGCTCTCGCATACCCGGCACATTCTAATAAGCTTACTTTATGTTATGCGCGTGTTGTTCAAATGATTTCGATCGTTTTTTCTTCGGCGGATCTTCTTCTTTCCCCACTTGTACGATTGGAGTTCTTCAGAACGATAATAATCACCGGAAAATACTCGCGTTCTCTGTAAGTACGCCCAGTGGCGTGCTCACGAAGGGGTATCTGTAAATTTGGTCATCATTATGGATATCACTTCCATTACGCTCGCACAAACGTGCGATTTCTCGCAAATTCCTTGAAGGTTTCGTAATATGTCGTGAAAAAGATGAAGTTACTCGAATTCCGAACCTACTCCTGTCTTGATATGAGGAATTTTCTCTGTGTGAAACCTTGCACAAATGTCGGTGGGTTATAGTTTTAGGTTCATCTTGGTATTAGCTAAGGAAGTAGTTGTTTTTCTACAGACATTTGCTAAGTTTTACTATGTGGAATACCTCGAATATTATTTCGAGACTTCACTATAGACCATCTTAGTGACGAGTTTATGCAACATAGGTACTTAGTAGGACTGAGAACTAAGAACTATGCCTAGAAATTTGGCCAAAATTCAACTAATAACAAAAAGCCTGGGTCAAAATGAAAATGGGCATGCGTCAAATTGAAATATTTACAGCTATCATTAACCCAAGAATGATAATTTCAAAATTGTATCATTATAATAATGCAAAACATAAATTAGTGCTGTACATTTATTTCGAACAATCAAGGCACCCAATTTTCTTTTCTTTATATACGTAAATAGTTCCAAAACAAGAAAAAACTAAATAAACAGTATCAGTACGACAAAGATGCATCTACGGCATCTCGTTACCCTCACATGTATATGTACAATTCGGTAAGTACCTCAACGGAACCACCCTCATATCTGCTGTTATAGTTACCTATGCAAGTTATCCGCACTCTTTCACACTTACGCATGGCCAATCATTATAAAATTAAGTTCACATTGAATAGAATTGTGTTTTCGATCGATCCAGGTGTAATATGCACTGTTTACAATAGTAATAAGGTCGAAACTTTATTTCATATCATTTTCGAATGCCAGATTTACACTGTTATGAAACAAAACAAACAAAGCCTTCAGAATTTGGATGAACTCATTCATGCTTCAGAGAATATAACTATCCCGGTAGCCAAAGAAATCTCAGAATATATCTGGAACATTCTCAGGTTACGTTCATTAATATTGAGTGAGTGATAGTTAGTTTATTATACTTTCAAGATTCTACAATCCACTGTTAGCTCCCTATCCCCCGGAGCCCCAATACATTTGGGAGGGCGCGCCAGCATTATCAACCAACGACCACTCCCCACACCGTGGGATAAGTGATCATTGGGATCATTATTATTATTAACCTTCAAATCATATGTCATTAAACGAAGCTAAAGTAGTTTTAGGAAAGAAGGAGAATTATTTTTCTCAGTAGCTAGGCTATGGAATGCAAACTTTTCGTTGTACTCAAAGTCCTTTGATAACTTTTTTCAAAAATGAATTCGATTCAAATTTCTTTNCGATTCAAATCTCTTCCTTCTCACAAGCACCTTCCATATCATTTTTCAAGGATTTTCCTGTAATATCGTGCATCGCCATTGAAAAACTGGCACTTTGTTGAATTCTTTCAGAACTTTCTGAACTACTCGTATCTTCTGTTTGTGAATCAAATTCCTCTCCTATATGAAAAATATCTTACTCTTGTTCTTGTAACTTCAACCTTCACTTTGCTTTTTTTTACTATGGATCTACTTTCTTTTTAATCAACAAATTAGTTGAAATCTGTTCAACACAATACAACACATAATTTTTTCAGGTCCAGTCCATTTCAGAACTATTTTTTCAATAAACTATACGAGTATTTTACCATAGTGTATAGTTGCATATGTTTCAAAATGATTAATTTTAGAAACAGGCCATTGGTACATAAGATAACACCAGCAAAATAGAAACTTTTGTTACCTTTATCTTAGTCTTCAATGGCCACCAAGCAATTATGTCAAAGATATTTTCTAGGTTTGTTAGTCATAGTTTGCGTGTTTTTAGGATTTACGTTTTGCCTACATCTGCGGTATAAATGATCAGTATGTGAAAACAACTATTACCTTTTTTACGTTGTCTCATCGCAGATGAGGTCGTCCGCAGTTGTATACGAAACTTGAGGCATCAAAACCTACAGATCACGTTCAACAAACCAGGGAAAACTTTTCTTTGATGAAAATTGTCAGTGGAGTGTACATTTTTTACGTTTCTACGCACGCCAATGGATAGATGGCAGCACAATGAATGGGAAGGTCTTGGACGTTCACTTTTATTGTTATTTTTGATACGGTAACCGCACAGTGTAATTCACTTTTGGTATGGTTGAGTTCGCCTTGGCTCCTGATACTGTAAGTCTATTTGAATCTCTTCTTTGATTAGTGTTAGTTCTGCCGTTTCATCGGTTTCAGTCGACGGGATAATCTGAAATTCAAATTCGTGCCGGAGTCACTGCCGTAAAAAAGGTGAATGAACGAGAAGGAAATTACTCCTTCGAAGTGATCAACAAAGAGTGCGATTCCAACAATCCAAAGATCAGCTCATCAAGGGTTAATTTCGTAGCGGTTGCTTCGGTAGAAAAGTGCTACCTTCCATGACCATTTGACTATGCTTTCTGATCTGCTTTCTCTTCAGTATGAAGGAAAATGTTCTTCAGTAGATCTTTATTGGAAATTTTATCGTTTACTAGATTTCACGGCTGATTATTTCCATCTAAGTCTCAATAGTATAACTATCTCCAGCGATTCAAATCCGATGTGAATCGCTATGGTTCTACGTTTGAAAGGTATTTTCTTCAAATGTTGTCAGATGATACAACAATAATAAATAATCCAAAAGGACTTGACAAACATAAATATTTAGGTCCGTCCTCAAACATCTCCGAGCCATACATTCGCAAAACAATTTTCTGCTACTTACTAATAATTTGTAACCTGAACAGTGTCATACCGCTAAAAATATTTGAAATCAATTTTTCTGTGACTATTGAAGAAAGTGCGACCACAAGGTTCACATTTGGGACCACTGTCGTTTGACCTTTTTATCAACGATCTAATCAGCTGTTTCCATGAAAGCGGAGCTTTGCTATTTGCCGACGATTTAAAATGTTTCAAAATAATTAAAAGTGAAACTGATACATTGTGTCTACAAAACGATATAGATTGCCTATCTAACTGGTGTTCGCAAAATGGTATGTGTTTGAATGCATCCAAATGCCAAATTCTTCGCTTCTATCGAACACATCACCCAATTACTTTCGAGTATGGTATGAATAATCGGACCTTACATTCTGCTATTGAAACCAAAGATCTAGGTTTGATCCTAGACTCCACACTAAGCTATAAATCACACATTTCCGCTGTAATTCAAAAATCTATGAAGATACTTGGCTTTATAAAGAGAAACACTTGTGATTTCACCAACATCACTGCTATTAAATCTTTTTATTTTTCCCTGGTTACACTTTTGTGTAACGTAATGAGGGGACCAAACTGTGTGAAACTCGAGGCCGTACAGCATAATTTCCTGCGATATATTGCCTTCAAGATGCGTGTATCCTATGACTATACTGCATTGGAATGCATTCTGAACATACCTTCTCTTGAGGCTGGCTGAAAAAATAGAGATTTGATACTTCTATTCAAAATTATCAACGGACTGAGTATCAGTCCCGAGCTTCTCTCCAAAATACCTTTACGTGTCCCCGGTCGTTCAACTAGACAGGTGCAAACGTTTTACGTTCCTTTTCACAGATTTAATTATGCACATAACGGCTTTATTCCCAGAACTCTTCGATTTCCTAACTCTTTAAATAACCTTCAAATTTTTAATATATCAGTATCCCGCTTTGAAAGCCATATTCTTCACTTAGCCATCTAATACTCTCTGCTTGTGTTGTTGTATTGTGTCTAGTGTTACTTGCCTGCAAGAATTATTTTAGTTCATGTTGTTATACATTTTAATTTTTTCTTAAATAATCTATTTGTTATCTTACTTCGGAATCGTATTATTGTTATAACTTACTTTTAATCCACTGTATTGCATCAAGTACTACGTAGCACTGTACTAACTTATATCTGAATTGGCTTGCCTGTGTATATACATAAATAAATAAATAAATTTCTTGTTTGTGAGTGGGCAATGAATAGAATAAAATGTGAACTGAAATGTGAGGAATGCTCCTCACCAGAAATTTGTAATGTGGCGAAGAAGTTGAAATTTGTTCGAAGTTTATCACTTCATAACAAAATGGGAGTATAGTTTGATACCCAAATAGTTTTATGTTACACTAATTTGTGCACACTTTTATGTATATCAAAGTCGTAAACCAGAATTTTGGGTCCTACTACTGGACATGAGTTCTTCATTTTTTTTAACCATCCAATTATACAACTATTTCAAATTAAATAGAATAATATTATCGCCATTCGGAATATCCTTCACGGGTGAGTCTCATTTTTGAAACATTCCTGATATAAGTCAAAGAAAAAGTATAGTATTCCACTCGCATGAAAATGGTCATAACTCGGTTGAAAAATTGACGACCCGAGCTGAAGTTTAGCGTCGACAAATATCATTTCATCATTTTCGTAATCATAGTTCTTGCTCGTTAAACAATATACTGCTCAAATGGATAAATCAAATCAAAGGATCAAAATCCTTTCAAATATTTGTTTTTCCATTTTTGGAACTCAAAACTATACAAAGTTTTGCTAGAAGAAATTTAATTTCTACTATTAAACAACTTCAAACGTTTCGTTGATTTGTTGATTTTTGCGGTGGATTATTTGATTAGTCTCCTTGGTCGCTTCAACTTTTATTTTTCATCCAAAAATATAGTTATAAAAACGGCGGTTTTTCATGTTGATTTCATGTTAAAGTTATTTTCACATTTTGGACGTTGGACGTCCATATAAAAGAAATGAAATTATCTTCAAACTGAGTTTCAGTCAGATTGGGATACAACCAACAGTCAGATATATAATTTCAAGATCATCGAAAATTGTCCATATTTACTTTTGGATACATCTACCATTTCTTTTCGTCCTTATCATAATTTTAGTTCCTCACATGAATTACTGAGAGTGTTTCAGAAACTATTTGAAATATTTATTCTTTAGCTTGTTTTAATTTCCAGACCCACTCTGGATTGATCCAAACCATCCAACAAACCTCAGACCCCAATGGATCCTCTTACAGAACCAATTACCACCAGGTTCAGGACTACTACAACGGACAGACCTCCAACCAAACGGGGGCTGTACCGCGTACCTCCTGGCACCCCGTAGATCCCAACAAACTCGCCCCCCGCCTCCTGCAGTCTGCTGATGATTTCTCCCACAACGCCCAAACTCACAACTCTCAGTCTGTATCGGTTCAGATAGAGGCCAAAGAAGGAGCTCAGAAAGATCAGAAGAACGTCAAGAGTATGACGAAGACATACAATACCATCAAGGACATTTTGTCAAGCAGATTCAAAAACAATAAGGAGAACGACGAGAAATCGGAGGAGACGGGCTTGAACAACGTGGCAGATGAGTTGAGGAAGTCGCAGGCGAATTTAACTGATGATTTGGCTGGGAAAAAAGCTGCAGGTGAACAAGGTAAGCCTTTGTCAAATTATTTGATAGATTACAATCATTTTGTAAAGACAATTGAATTACTTTTTGAGTGGAGGATCACACAAGACCCTTCTGTCCATAAAAAAGTTAATAGCGCCTTCTCTACGGCTAGTGTCGTCATATCATTGGGTTTTTCATCAAAAGGTACTAAAAATTATCCCTTTTCCTACAAATTTCATACGACTTTGATATCTTGCCACGCCCTTATGTTTATGTGTGAGTTTACCTGCGGCTCTTCTGTAGGATACCCCAAGCAATCAATGACCCCTCAGCACCAGTATCACCAGCACCTCTTGCAACAGCAAATGCTGGCGCAGCACGCTCAGCAGCAATACCAACAGCAGCTCAAGAGTCAGCAGTACACCCAACAATTGGTCCAGGCGAGGTCGCAGGAGATTTTGAACCAGCATCAGGAAGAGCAACTGTACTATCAAAGCAGTTACGTCGGCTCACCTCAAAGGAATCCTTCTAGATTTGTGCAAGTAGCTAATAGGGAGGGAAACTTTGTGGCAGTACAGCAACATAATATGCAGGTAATGATAATATTTCTAATCAAGTTCAGTGATGAAAACTAAGCACAAATTGTTTTCATTTTCCTTCGTAACATATTTCTCAACAAAACATTTGAAGGTTTTTATATATTGTAAATTGTGCATGTTGATTGTATATGTATATTCCGAAAGGCAGAAAAATTCTCAGTTATGTTGAAAAAATCAATTTAGAGTTCGAATTCGAAATTTCGGGTTTAAAATTGAAATTTCGGGATTTGAGTCGAAACCTCGGGAATGAAGTCAAAATCTCCCATCTATAGAAGAAAATTTTAAAATTAAAGTCGAAATTTTCAGTTTCAAGTAGAAATTATGAGATTACAGTAGTAATTTCGAGTTTAAAATTCGTAATTAATACAGCCGAGAATATCAAATTACTCAAACAACCTTTGTTCATTTACCTTACTTCCATTAAAAACGTACTGAACTGATGAATATTTTATTTTCTTCCTGAATTGTTCGAAGTTTGAAGGGGTTTCGATTTCATTCAATGTTTCAAATCCATTATTTATAATGGATTTTGATTAGGGTTCTCAGCGGTTGTGACAGTGGAAACTTCTGAGAAATTTCTTGATTATTCAACAGAAATCAGGAAAAATGTTTCCTTTTCAACTCAAACCATAGTTGTGAAGTAATCTTTATAATTGTAATCACTGTGGTGTGGTTTGAAATATGATGCTTTTTCAGATCTGAAAATGTTTCATAATGATTTAGTCCAATGCCAATGGTTACCTCACAACACCGACTCAAGAATACAATTAAAGAACATTATTACCTATGAATAGTTACTTCGTTAGCTCTCTCCACTATGTCTGAATACAAAGCTATTCAAACGAATAACAGTTCATTATTTCTTGATTCAATATTCATCCTGTATCTGTATAGGCCAAGACTAGTCGAACACAAACTCTCTTATTGACGATAACTCCGGGCACTCACGTAGGACATGGATACCTGTTAAAAAAATGCAAATCCTCCAATAAGTTTCACTATTTGTTCCCTCATAACTCTTCTTGTAGTTCGTCAATGGCAAAGATCCCCCAATGGAGGACCGCAGGCCCCAAACCAGCGCAGACCGACGAAGCGCCCAACAACTAGAAAGAGACAGTCTTCGTCAACGCAGCTTCGAGGCACGAAGGGCAGCCTCCCAGCCCCAGCTAGCATACGATGAAGACGGCAACGAGGAGACCCCGACCAGCAGGCCGCAACCTCAGATCCCGACCCCTACCAGGAGAGGCTCCCACGGTAACATTGTGGAGGCGCAGGTGAACTACGATGGGGAGAAGGATAGTGACGACGGAGGGTTTCTGAAAAGAAACGGTGCGTTTATTCACCCTTCGAAGCTTGAACAGTTGTTGGACTACAGTAGGGATGAACTACAATGTCTAACAGGCCTTCTCACAGGTCACTGTCATTTGATTCATCATATGCAGACTCAGACTGTCGACAGTGTGTGTCGCCTCTGTTTGGGAAATTATGAAACAGCGGAGCATATATCTTGTGCCTGCCCCGCTGGGGACGAAATTAGGTTTTTAGAGTTCGGCAGAACCGTACTCTTACCATATGACCTGAAAGACCACTCACCATACAAACTAATCGGCTTCGTTAAGAAGCTGGGTTTATTTGATCGAGTGTGAATACGTGTGAGCCACAATAAACCCTTACGGGTTGCGGTGGAGGGTCGAATAGACCCACTTACTTTGGACCTAACCTAACATAACCTAGTTGAATGAGTCTCAAAGAGGACTTTGAATAATGTCGTATTGGCAGATTCACTAAGTTCTCTCGAAGGATTTTTGTAAATGTTTTGTCTCAAGTGTGTGACGATACGTCTTAAGAAGCCACTGTATGGCAAGACACGTGTAGCGTTTTTGTAAAATTGTTTAGTGAGAATTTCACAATGGAATGTTTTTCGAATAAACCAGGAATATATCTAAAAGTACTGGTATTCTTTCTGTAAACATCAAATTCTGGAATTTTATATTGACGCTGGATTTTTGTTTGCTTTCGGAAGTCTGGAGATAGCAAAGTGTGACATGAGAACTTTGAACAGTGACAAAGGTCCTTTTTCCTATTGTTTTTTTTATGAATCACTGTCAAAATTAACAGGAGACGTGTATCACGAGATGTGATAGATAGATGTGTTAGATATGAATAGATGCCAATTTTGGGGTTAGCAATAAGTTTTCTTCATCGCGTCGAGAAGAGTAATGCATGTTTGAGTATGTTTGAGACGTGAGATGTTTGAGTGTACCAACTTGAAACATTTACCTTATTATTTTAACAGAACTCGTACATATTGTTTATAAATCTCAAACAGACATTCGCACGCACCAAAATCAAATGTCTGAGTTCAGTAATGCCAAATAAATACAACATACACTTTGATTGTCGGGGTTAGGATTGATATTTTACAGAGTTCACTATTTTTTATTCAATCAACAAAACTCTCTCAATTGACAAATCTAGAAATGAGAAATCTAATGAGTAGTATCAGAAAGTCGGCTACAAATAAAGTACAACCCGCTATCACAAAGAAAAAACTTACAAAATCAGATTTTGATAATTGTATAATGGTACTAAACCATAAAATAGTACTGGCAGGCTAATAAATGGTTTTTTTACTGCTACTACTAGATATATTTCAAACTGAAAAAAATTATTATCACCTCATTTGTCCCAAATTATTCCTTGAGGAACACCATAATCTATACTAACCTCCACCGATGTTCGTAGGTAAAATAGAAGGCGTCTACAATGTCGGCCAGCGATCTGGGAAAGCAGATGATGAATCTAAAGGGACCAAGAAGTTGAATCCGAGTTCTGCGACAAGTTCGGACTATGACAAGACGGGCGGACAGTCCTCGTCCAATATCGATTCTGGCAGAGGTAGCGCCGCTTATAGTAGCGGAAGAAGACCTGCTGATCTTAATGGAGAACAATTTGACAACTGTCAGATAAATGCTAGGAGTAAATATAGGGATATGCATGGAGGCGGTAAGTTTATTCATAATCTTATATGTTTATGAACATTGAAATTTACAAACTATAATTTACATATTCGTAATACTCGAAAATTTTGGTGGCAAAAAACTGAAAAGATATTGATTGGAATTTTTAAATGAGTTAAAAAATTTCATTATTTTTTTTTCAAAAGCGGAAATAGTCGTTTGGAAATTCAATTGAATTTTGGAATGATTCAATTACAAATCTATTTTATCAATCAGCTGTTACAGTAATTTGTTAATGGAAATTGTTTCTTGGCAATTTCGTGTTTTTGTGACTCATCACTTGTCGAATAATGGACCCCCAAATTCGTTTTGTGATAAAATATCTGCCAAATTATCTTTCAATCATATCCATATATATTGGAGTTCAAATCATATTCGTGTTTGATAAATAAACATTTACCTAACTCATATACCGTTTCATGAGATATTTTTGGTTTTTGTTGCGTCACTTATTCATTTTTTACTATAATTTCACTTTCAATATAATAATGAGTTATGAAAGCTTCCATCCGGATGTACAGCTATTGTTTATTTGAAAATCAAAACTTCACAATTCAAAAAAAAAATATTTATAAATAAAAAAGTCCAAAACCAGATAAGGCGTAATAAGGACCAAATTCAACGCTAGAACCACAGTGAACAATGACTGCATGAATATTATGATAGTGGTCTGCTAGATTAAAATGTTCATCATCGTCAGAGGTTGAGTCTAGTTTGAAAATCATCAGTGTTATTATTAGATTGACTGGTGCCTCAGCTATACTTGTTTTCCTATAACAGTCAATTAAAAATTCCATTTTCAGATGATTTAACAATATGCTTTGCACTTCATAATGAGTTATGAAAGCTTCCATTTGAAGGTGCCGCTATTGTTTATTTGAAAATAAAAACTCCAAAATTTGAAAAAAAAAATTATTTATGTTTAAAAAAGGTCCAAAAACAGATATTTTTTCATAAAAAACGGAGGTCAAAAAATATTCCTTAGTTAACAATTGTCTAACTTTTGTGGAAATCAAGATGAAAATATTTCTCCAACGGAACTTTATTAGCGGGTGTTGAATGAAAAGTTTAAATAATACAGGTAGAGTTACGGAAATTGAGACTTTCATTGTAAGTTTTCCCTCCTTTCATAATTTATATAAAAACTTAATGTCTTCTCTTTTCCATCTTAATTGGTGAATGACAATTGCAAATTTTTGTGTGCTTTGAAGTCGTCAGAAACTAGTTTTCTACACGTTATCCTGAATTGAACAAATAGACAATTGCGAACTAGACCAAAATGAATGGCTTTGTCTCTCTGTTGTACTACCTGAAGCCAAAGTATTTTTCATACAGCTCAATTTTGTTCATATATCCTCTGAATGAGCATCATTTGATAAGTAACCCTGTGATTATTCTGAGCAGATTCCTTCTCTAGTTTGTCAGTTGTTTTCTCAGACGGTCCCAAGCGTATATTTCTTATTGATCCATTTTCCGATCTAGTCCCTTACCATAAATTTTGGAATCGGCACAACTATTTCAGCGTCCACATTTGGAGCTGTATCTAGTCCACTCATCAGCTATTTTTTTGCCTATAAGTGTGCAGGCATCGAGTATAGAGTCAATCGATTTTGCTCCATCAAGTACTCCAATTCTACATGGCATCAATGGCATCCCCAAACTAGTTTTATGTTTCACTTTTGGGTTCATCAATGCCACAAGTGTAACTCGATTGTTCATGAGAATTTTCCAATTTCACACCATTTCTAGCTCAGTAAATTGGGTCCCTGTTGCCTTCTCCGTTATTGCAAGATGCAACGGAGTGGATTCAAGAGTGCCTCAATGCTGCTGTTTCAGTACTCTCACATGCGAGTCTGTACACTGCCTAATTTGTTGATAGCGATGGTTTGTTTTATCTTTGACCATCAAACCGAAGAAGTTTATGTTATCATAGGAACATTCACCAAGGAATTAAATAAATTTTATATTTTTTCCAGCTCATGATACTGAATGGGTCGATATAGTCGAGAACGAGTTGAGACACATCTTAGAACCAAAACTTCACGAACTGTCTTTGCAAGGCAACCCAGGAATCGCCCATTCCACTATTAGCGAAAGTATATCGTCCATGACACCCCCTCTACCACCCCTATCACCAGGCGACCAATCATCCCCCAACACCACGCCCAGAAATTCGACCCGGTACAAACACAGCAGGTATGATCGTTGTTGTAATTAGGTTTGAGTGTACCTCGGGGTTCTTTTCTGAATCCACCATCTCATATGTAGAATCTTATCCTGCCTAATTTTTCAAATTCGTTTGTTTAGCTTACCTTGTGGAAGTAGACCGGACTATGAAAGCTATAAATCGAAAGTGCATTCAAGAAATATCATTGGTGACTCAAGATGGAACAACAGTTCTACACAGAAACATAGATCACAGAAGAAGATGGACCACAATGCCATACTGAGAGGCAAGCAGAGTAAGTCAAATCCGTCAACTATACAAACTTTCAGTTATCATTTTTTCTGTCACGGTGAATATATTTTGGTGTCTCAATATCTGGCCCAAAGGACCATATATTTTTTATTTCTCAAGTATCAATATCTTTTCCAGTTTTTGGTTTGGACACCACAGACATCACTTCCACAACTACCAGATCCATGGACTTGGAGTCAATATTAGACGGACAAAGCGACTCAGATGGAGATCTCAGTACCACCGACGCCAGGACGATCAGGAAACAGCTCGAAGGACTTGAAACGATGTACTCGGAAGTGTTGAAAATGCTGGGCGTTAAAAAACATCCGGGTCGTTACCAGCCTTCCGATCCAAGGTGATTATTGTGCCAAACACGATCAATTATTATTTAGTCATACAGAATTTACTTTATCAAGGGTGTTGTTGAATATTGAGTTCCACGAACTATACTGTATTTTCACGCCTTCCTTTACTCCTAGGTTCAACAAGAGAAGATACGGCAGCATGTCTTCGCTCCCCTCCAGCTCGGTCAGCAGTCGCCCGATACGAGACAAGCGACGCGCAAATGAAGACAGGAAAAAAGTCCGCGACATACGAGGGATCAATAAAAGGTTCCAACGTCTCGAGTCGCACGTCGTCACCCTCGCCCGGTCGGTGGCGCACTTGTCCTCTGAGATGCGCACGCAGCACCTGATGATCCAGGAAATGGAGAATATTCGCGGAGAGATAGCTGCGCTCCGCACGCAGACTAATATGCTCAACGTGCGTGCGCAGTCCGCCACGCGGGCTGTTAGCGCGAAGGAGTTGCCGGTGCTGGCGAATCCGACGAGGGTGAAGAAGTTGACGAAGTTTTTTGGAGATGAGCCGCCATTGTTGAGATTGTTCCTGAGGAAATTGGGATATGAGGTGAGTTTGGTGGTTGAAATTTCTGCTCTGACATCACTTTTTTGTTTTTTCTCCATTGTTTTATTCATTTTTTCGTTTTTCATTTCAACTTCTGCTTCTGTAAAACTTTGAAACATTCTTTACTTCATAACTTCATGGTATCTTATTCGTAAAGAAAGCGAATATCAGATGTTTCTATAAGCCGGGGTCTCCAATGTTATCAAAGAAGTACCCATGCATTGGCTTATCCTTGTATTACCGTATGAGTGAAGAGATATATGCGACTTTTATGTGGGTCTTTTGCTGAACGGGTCTTTTACTGAACTCCTATGGAGATGATATAGCTCCTCCTCCTTCTACGTTGAGTTGATATAGCTCCTCCCGAGTCCACTCCACTACTTCAAACGAGTAGAGTGAAATTGGAACGGCGAGCATATTTCTAGCAGCAATTTTGTTTCTCCCTGACAATTCCGATGACCCGATCTGTCGGAGTTTGTGCTGATACTTACCGCGGAGAGAGTTTTCCACTGCTGTTACCTTATGTAAGTGGCGTTGTTCCACCCCGAAGTGACTATGATTTCTCCAGCATCCAGATGGTGCAGAATTCTTTCATCTACGTACGTGATTCACACTTTTGTATAGGATTTTACAAGCGTTAGATAACTTTTATATAAGTTCTTGGATGATGGATACTTCTTTATACGGATGTAAGAATTTCAGAATTGTAAAGGATTTGCCAATAATACCAAAGAATCATTCTTTGTACTTGTATATCAACCTGTTACTTTGTGTATTGACCGATATTTTATAAATAAAAGATTACACTCATCTCATTTTCTTTATTCATTTCATTCATAGTTTCTGACGTAAATAAAGGTCGGAAAATAAATTCAGAAACAGAAATAAAGCATAATGGAGTTCAACCAATATCTCAAATGTATAATAATACACATATATTATTCTCTCATCCCGAAGTATATGTTTATGGAGTTGCTTCCAGACTTTGTCTGCAGATGGCGCAGTGGCACATCCTACCAGCTCAACTGCAGACAGAACTTTTGACTATTCTGAAGCAGATGAACGATCCAAGCAAGAGTGCGTCAGGAAGCTGTTGTGTCTCCACTCCTGTACAGCCTTTACGTGAGCGACCTTCCGAGGTTCGATCACATGAAAGTTTCTCTTTACGCCGATGATACGGCTCTCCTCGCTTCTTCCATGGGTTGGGCGTTGGCAGTCGTCTACATGCAACGTGCATTGGACGACCTCGAACGCTGGTACCTTGACTGGAAAATCCGGGTGAATCCAGGCGATACTTGGGGAGACGTAATGTTTCTCCACACACAAGGATCACGATCTCAGGGAGTAGCTAGTCTTTGGGTAGATCGCCAACTCACCTGGGCAAATCACATTGATTATATCAAGAGCAAAATTCAGATGAGGATAGCTAAACTCTATCCTCTGGTTAATAGAAATTCAAGGCTCAATCTTGAAAATTGGATTTTATTATACAACACGATGTTCAAGCCTGTCATCATGTATGCTTCAGGTGCTTGGGGACAAACCGCCCCGTCAACCCTCTCCATTTTGGAAAGGTTGCAAAACAAACTTCTCAGGATGCTGATGAATGATCCATGGTTCGTGAGGAATTAAGCCTTCCGCAGAGATTTGAAGATGTCAACTATACGGCAGTCTATTCAGTCGAGGAATCAGAGAGTTTTTGAATCAGCGGAAACTCATGATAACCCATTAGTTAGGGAAGCTGTAGATTACACATAGACGATCCCACTCGATTCAGAAGGCCCCCTCACTCGGTTGAGTGAAATGAACAGTTTGTTCATCAAATACCCCAGTCAGGAAGGAGTACACAAGGCCAGAGTGGCCACCAAAACACCTTAAGTTACAAACCATTCGTCTTTCTGACGAACCTCAGTTGGAAGGATAAGGGAAAAAATGTCCAACCTGATAGAAATGAAGATGATTATGACACAGATGAACGATGCCTAGAAACCATGGTGTTTGGCCGATTCGCTTTCGTTTTGTCGAAATCCCTCTCCGCGATAAATGGGATTAACTCAAATATAAACTCATGTTGATAGATGGAACAAGAATCGTTTTCAAATGTGAACATTGGTGTGTAAATCTAGTAGCTGAACAATTTACATCCCACTCCACAGTCACTATTCCCACACTAAAAAACACAATGCCGGAAATTACTTTTCGAAAGCATATAATGAAGTGGCCGTCACTTAAAAAAGTGCGCCAATAAACACGAACCAGTATTTTGCAGACTTTTCAACCAGTCTTTCAAGGATGGGATTTTTCCTTATAGGCGTTCAGCCTATTCCCAAAAAGGGGAACAATGATCGAACTAAAAAATAAAAAATCGAGTAGCGTAGACGATATAACAATAAAAGTTCTGAAATATGTCATTCCATCTATATCTGAAATTCTATTGAATCTTATGAATCACTTTATAATGGAAGGCGTGTTTCCGAGTGTCTTCAAAACGGCCAAAGTTATCTCTATCATAAAAAGGGTTCACATGAAGATATAGATAACTATCGCCAAATATTATTAGTGAGTATTCCATCAAAACTTATTGAAAAAATAGGAGCAAATAGAATTACTGCGTTTCTCGAAGATTCTAACCGATCATCAACATGGTTTTAAAAAAGCTAGATCAGTTAAGACTGCTATTGCTAGAAAATTCGAGTTTATTTACAATGAAATCGATAAGGGGAAGTACGTAGTTTCAATATTATTCGACTTGGCTAAGGCGTTTGATTCAGTAAATAGTGACATTATGGTTAGTAAGTTATATAACATTGGCATTAGAGGGTTTCTTCTGGAATGGATAAAATCTTTTATGGAAGAAAGGAAAATGGTAGTGACTGTGAATAATATAGTATCTGATATTCAAGATATTATCCTTGGTGTACCACAGGGGTCCATTTTAGGCCCACTGCATTTCTATATAAATGATCTTCCGAAGTATATAAAACAAGGTTTTATTATCCTATTCGCAGATGACACTACCATAACAGTTTCCGGAAATACTGCGAAGGAGCTAGAAAACAACATCAATTCAGTTATGGATGACATGATTTCTTGGTGTGATAGAAATCAACTAAAACTGAACGGAAGTAAAACAGTACATTTAAGCTTCACTATGACATGTCTTATATCATGTAAATGATCAAAAAGACGAATAAAGTTATTATTATTATTACTAAAATCTTCCAAACAACTTTAGACCAGTCGCTTTGCCATCAGTGATATAAAAATCACGGAGAAAGTCGTAAACCACCATATCCTCAAATAAAAACCCATCAATGCAGTTAATTGTATGATTTTCACATGAAGGGTTTTACAAAAACGGCGACACGTGTTTCGCTATACAATAGTTTTCTCGAAAGTTATTAATAATTGACTTCTGAATTACAAGTTGTAAATTTCACCTTCTGCTGTCGCTGGAATTGCAAAGGCTGCTTTTCAAAAGTTTGGAACACTGTTCCGAACCAACATGGTTGACAGATTGCGAATAGCCATGATGCTTCTAAGGTGGCTCGGAGAGTTATCAACATCGCATACGCAGAACACGACAATAATGACCAATATAATCGATGGATGAAGTGAAATATATTTCCAAATCAATTTTCATCACAGTAAAAGTTTTGCTTCGAACACTCTCTGGATTTTTACTCGTGATGATAGCTAGTTTCCTTTTTCACAAACATGTCCGTTTCTGTGAAAGTAAATAAGTCAATCAATGTGACAATACCCTCTTGAAAAGTCACTTCAGCGACCCCTAAGAAGCGACCCTTTGTTTCATAACATGTCCATTACTAAACGCGCAAAAAATCTAAACAATATTCTTCAAGACTAATATTTTTTGGATAATCGACAAGCAGCTCAAACAAAGACTGTCCCGACGGTGGGCGCCAAGACGTCTGGCGTCATGGAAGCTGCAGCCAGCATCCAGTTCGCCCGAGAAACTCTTAGTTCCAGGGTGGATTTTTCCATTTTTCCTCCCAGTTTGCAATAGTGGTGATTGTGAACACATCGACGATTTTTATATAAATCTAAAGAATAGTTACATTTAGTGGTTGTACAGGATGGTGCCAAAATCTTTTTGGTTTGTTTTGAGCTTGAAGAATGGGGCTGCTATTATGGCTGCTTCGAATATGGTAAGTACATAAGAGTTGAATTGTACATTTTTGGGCGTGGTATATTTTTCCTAAATCTCAATTTCTTCAATTCTACTATAACTTTTCTATCAAAACTTCAGTTGTCTTGCAAAAACAGCTAGATTATTGAAATATTGTTATATTGTTGAACAAACTTTTTTTTGTTGGCAACATTAACAAATCCTGGAATGACAACTTGAAATTTACATATGATACATTGATGAAATTAGTAAATCAATTACAATTGTGCAAAATCAAATGGAATGACGTGAATGATGAGTCATTTGAATATTTGAATGTTAAAAATGGCGCTGGGTAGCAAAGACACCAACTGTCATTTCTGTGCCTCTGAAAATATATTGAATTTCGACAAAGTTTGATAGTTTATGAAAATATGAACTTTGGGTACACGACGTAGGGAATTTTAGGTTTGATACTGTTGAAGCTATAGATATATTTAGAAAAACCCGAAATATATCTATGCCGCTTGTTTTTTAACATTGAATATTATTGAAAGAATGATAAGAGTATCTTCAAAAACCATCAAATACATGGAAAGCAAACAATGTAGCTTCAAAAACACATGACAAACGTACCAAACTTTTGAAACAACCTAATATGATTTTGATTTTTCATAATTATATCGATTACTGTTTTCCATTCTTCTCTCAAGATATGTTTGTTTTTTTAATTATTATTTTTCTCAACTCCACATTCGATTATCCATCTGTTGATATTTTTCTTTCTTATTCACCATTCATTTCTTCAGGCCCAGAGAAGGAAAATACCAATCTCTATAAATCAAATATTACGATGTTTTCCAGATATTCGCATTGACAGCTATTATTGGAGCCAGCGTCGAGCTTTTCAGAGTGGAAAAACAAGAGTATGAACTTTACCTCATCGTTGCAGTGGTCATGGGATTCTTCAATCTCTTCATTGCAGGGATAATCACGATAGCACTCATTGCGGTAAGTTCAACTTCAGTTTAGGTCATCGAGATTAATTGTGTTGATCAGTTTTTGATAAAAATACCAAAAGTTACAAAATTGATGCCACGACGAACATTTTTATTGATGCTCGTTCAGAGAGACAAAATTATTGCTGTCATCTCTGGTCAAAAGCAGTTTCCAAAGTCACCAGCGCTAAGAATAATTTGTTATCAACTTCTGTTTTCATCTCAACTCTAACTTAAAAATGAAGGATCGTCTGGACCTGATGACATATTAAAATACTAATCAATACAGTTTATTGTATGATTTCCACTATAAAGGGTTTTACAAAAACAGCGACACGAGTTTCGCTATACAATAGTTTCCTCAAGCATAAACTGCAGTTTTTTTATAAGTATTTTACGAACTTTTTGGCCGTCTGCAAATAGTAGGCTAGGAATATTCAAAGAGGTTGCCAAGTCATTAGTAAAAATAAAAAATAAAAGAGGTCCAAGATTAGAACCTTGTGGTACCCCAGATGTAACTACGTACTGAGCCGACTTGAAAGATTCATATTCAACGAATTGTTTTCTTTCTTATTAGTCAGTGGACTATGCTTGAAAACTGGCAGTAAACAAATCTAAAGAAATGAACTTTAAACGTTCAAGTCAGTCTCGAATATACCTACACAGTAGGTGTATCTATGTCTATGTGATTGACAGAACATTTTAAAATCTGGTAATCCTAGATTTTAGTGAAAAATACACAAGAATTGGTGAATTTTTGTCACTCAGCACGTGGAACGTTATTGGAAACGTTGGCAAGAAAACAATAGTTTTTTTTCAAGAAAAATTGATCTTGTTACCGAACTAACCCTTCTTGCATATATATTGGATCACTTAACTAGTTGATTAGTTGTTTATGTTGTTTGATAATGGCACAAAATTCCACTTGTCCTCGCAGAAAGAAATTTGGTAATTAAATGAACCATTCAAGTAATGTTCCGACCCCGTTGAACGATTCCACTTCATTTCGCATTTGTTTTCGTAATTGAATTCTTCGCAGAGGTCCTGAGTGTCCTGAATATAAACAACCAATCGTAATAACACGAATAAATCATTTGCATGCCCCTCCGACAGACATCCCATCTCCCTGTTTTTCCACGACATTTCTGAAAGACTGCCTGCTGCAAATCTCATAATCTCTTATTTGAATTCCAGGGGAACGAAAGGTACGTCCTGCTCTACATCTTGCTGGAGTTTTCGAATCTATTCATCATCACGATCTTTGCCGGAATTAACATATTCGAATACAGGTCGCTGTATTTGGGAATTTTGTTTGTAGTGTGTCGTAAGTATCATCTGAAATGTATACTGTGCGAAAACCTAAATAGAAGGTATCGAGACCGAACAAAATTTACGAATAACGATGTAAATTTCAATGTTTTTTGAAGAGACAGACAATAGAGTTGCCACCGAGAGGGCATTAACATATTTTTTTCCAATAGAATGGGAGAGTATTCAAATATCTTTTTTGAGAATTATTTCCACTCTCTATTCAACATTTTTTATTTTTGAAAACCAGATCATTTGTTCCTGAGTAATTAGTCGTTTCATATTCGTTTCAATGATCTGCAATCAAACGAAAAATATCATAATTTCAAGAAAAAATATATTCAAAATTCACAGTAGTTGAAATGTTCACCAAATGAACTTCAAAGAATGTACACTTTCATAATCAGCTTTGTCTTTTTCGAGTTTTTAAACCTTGGTCTGCAGGTTTTCATGTCTGACGTTTCATCTACTACTGCAGTAGACACTATCAAAAGCGATGAAATACCGGTCGAAGTGCTCAAGTTGTTATCAACCCAGGAACTACAATTTTGGCTTGACTTGATCATGTTTATTCGTTTTTGGGGGTTGGTATTTTATAATGATATTATATGATTTATTGGGACCCTGCTAAAGGCTTATGCCTCTTCAAGGTTTACAGTTATTCATCCTATTTGTGTTAGTGTTTCTGTGACATCTATTTTAGAAGGTTTTAGAAGTTTGGGAGTCCTGGTCCTTTGCTGTGGTCGTTGTTCATGGGGGAGTAGGTTTGTATAGAGTCAGGGGTGAAGTTGTTGGTCTTCAAGTTGAGTCCTCAGGATGATCCAGGGTGTGATCTTCCGCTATCGAATGGATAATGGATATTCCTCCAGGATATTCTGGATCTGCTCCGTTGGGTCTTCCATTAACCCCACGAGTGTGGCTGGGGGGAACTGGAGCTTGTTCCGTGGTATCTTTTTGGCGCCTCCATGGGGTAGTAAGAGTTTTTATGGCCGCGGTGTTCCCTGGAGTTCCTGAAATCTCAATACAATGTTGGAATTTCTCTCCGTTTTTATATCATCGTTGGTAGGCGTGGCTTTGTTGCTCTTAATTGTTGAATGACTTTTATATATAATCGAGAACAGGTAGCTAGATTTCACTGATGTTCATTGCCTCTTCCTTTCTTGAAATCTCCCTACGTTTCTGAATTTCTATTGCCCCTCTATATATTCTTGAGTAGTAATTTTGAGTTTTATCTTGTATTTGTGGATTTTCGAATGAATTGATGTTAGTGCCTTCATTGGTAGCATGTTCGGCTACAGCTGAGTTTTCGGTTTGTACGAGTCGACAATTTCTCTTGTGTTCAGAGAGACGGCTACCTATACTTCTTTTCCTGGTTCCAATGATTACTGACCCGCAGTTACAAGGAATATGGTATACCCCGGGTGTTGCTGAAGGTGCCCTGGTTTCAAGTTGTGTTTCTCTAAAATTATCCCAATGCGGTCTGTAACATTTTTAACATAGGAAAGGAAAGCTTTTCCCTGGTCGGGGGACCTTAGGGTTGTCTCTCCTGGGTCGTATGGCCCGCTCTAATTCTACTTTGCTGTACCCATTCCCTTTGAAAGCACTTTTAGGTGATAGAGTTCCTCAGAAAGACTATCAGGTTCACCTGCAGACCACAGCCAGAAAAGCCGAAAAATTACTTTGACACAACAATGAACGTTCACAAATTCATTTCTCACATTATGAAATGTTTCTGATGCAATTTCGTTAGGAGTACCTCGGTTCGTGAGTTGTAAAATAGGCTACGGTTGTATCTCCTGGGTCGTACGGCCCGCTCGAATTCTACTTTGCTGTACCCATTCCCTTTGGAAGCACTTTTAGATGATAGAGTTCCTCAGAAAAACTATCAGGTTCACCGGCAGACCACGTCCAGAAAAGCCAAAAAATAACTTTGACACAACAATGTTCACAAATTCATTTCTCACATTATGAAATGTTTCTAATGCAATTTCGTTAGGAGTACCTCTAGTTCGGTTCGTGAGTTGTAAAATAGGCTGCGGTTGTAAAACCATATATTTTGGATTTCACAAATCTTCAAAAAAAAGTTTGAAGGGAGCATTTCATATGATCTAGCACGTCATTTTGAGGACTACGTTTATCTATCCACCAATTTGAATAATTGTCATCTTGCCAATTTCAAACTAGCCTATCGTGATGAAGAGATACCTCATCATCCTGAAACGTAACATCAAGTGAAAACTTATTTGGGTTTGCCAATTTCCTAAACCAGTAGACAGACAGACAAGGTACCTTAGAAGTGCATACCAGATCACCTGATATGACGCCTCTAGCTGTATTTGAGGAAGTACGTGACATCTGAAGTGATACGACCTCAGTTAAGTCCACAACTCGTGGATATAGAAAAGAAGTATCCTCAACAAAGTTACCCCGAAAATACTCCATAATGTAGTAAATAAATTTTCAAGGATGTGTAGATCAAGCAAAGTAGTAACTTTTAGGCACTTTATTGTGATTGTATGATATCGTGGTTTACAGGGTTCAAGTTTCTCATAAGGTCCTAGAAGATACAAATAGATACCCACATCGGTTAATATAATCCATTATAGGCTTACTAAGTATTGTGATTTTTCATTCATCAGAATGTTGATCAGCTGAAAAAATATTTCATTTACTGGTGAATTCAAAGAGTATATCCACGAATAAATATTTGAAAATCAACAATTTGAAGCTTCTTGGAAAAGCCCTGGTTGGGAAAAATAAAAAGGCCAAAAGAATGAGTCAGACAGTATCGTTCTGATGATGATTTAATTCTCATTTTAAATTTTAATAAGCAATCAAGCCCATTGTCTGTATAGGCATACAATAGTTTGTTTTTCAAAAAAAATTCCGTTGATTCTTTAATTTTTAATTTCATTACATTCTGGAAAATTACAGAAAAACACAGAAACACTACAGTTTTTTTTCTTCTATATTCCACAGTTAGCCTTCTTCAATGGAATGTAAAAAACATCTGAATTTTCTGATGTTTTGTATGTTTTGACTCTGAAACTTTTTTAAATTTCATGGTTTTGCAGTGTTTTTATGGTATGGACTCTACTGCATGTACGGCTTCTACGCAGAGCTGGCAGAATACAACTCTGTAAAATCCGGGGTGATAGAAATCACCTGCAACACCAATATAAACCCGATAGCTTTTCCAGAAAAGGCGGTTGAAAGCACCGCTGTTTAGAAGATGTCTACTTTGAATTATTGTGTTCATGTATATATAGTTCTATGTACGTTTTCCTCAAAGAGGTATATATGTGTTCAAATGAATCTAAAGTATTTTGGAAATATACGAAATAATGTAATTTTCCAAAAGATTGTTTCTGTTCCAGAATTTCTCATACCAAGATTATCTCAGTCGAAACTTTTCTTACTTGAATGTCACCTGACAGTAAATCTGGTGACATCTCCTCCAACGACAGAAGACCCATCTTCGTAGGAGGAGACGTCATCAATTTTACTTTCATGTTTGTCTTCTTCACGGCAGTTGAGCGGAAACTTGGCAGTTCCTAACAGTGCCTGGTGGTGAATTACAAGTTCATTTAGTTCATGTAAGAAATCGTCCGATTTTATATTCATTTTCAGGATTCAAACGTATATTTTGGAGAGGTATCAATAAATAAACGTTTCACATCATGATTTTTATTGAAAAGAACGAATTGTCAAAGAAGGCCATTGTCAACTGTGTAATCCTTGATAGATATAAACTCCCTAGCATGTGCACGATGTTTCAGATGGAAGGCAAAGAAGAACGATACTAAAGATCCAATCATCTGCAAAAAATGTAATTAGCATGATGAAAAAAATAAACAAAATGATCGCATAAAACATATGTTCTGCCCTTTTGAAGTTTTACGCAGGGTGGGCCGAACAAAGACCTCCAAATCGTTTTTTGCGATACGTGATTCATTGTAGTTTTCAAGTTTTGAATTGTTTGATGTTTATGAAAGAACGTTCTCGGACTCCTGAGCTTGCAAAAAAACACAAACAACCTCCGAAATATCTCACTAAAGTGGAATATTACGAGGGTGGACATCGCCTGTTATGTCATTCAGAAATCACAGAATTGCACATTTTGAATTTTAGTTTCATGATGAAATAAAGCGATGAAAACAAAATCAATACAATCATAATATATGTTTTTTTGGTTTTCCTTATTTATTTGCGAACACCTCTTAGAGAAATCATCATATTTTTTCAATTAAGTGTTTTCATTGGTAGTGTCTTTATGGTTTTTTTTCACGTGAGATATTTTATTTAATTTTTTCTGTCTATTTGCGCCTCAACCCCTGTTTATCGAATAAGTATCAATTGATGCCTGTAGCTTGCTGGGAAAATGTATTTTACAACATACATTTTTCTTTAATGCGTTCTTTCCTTATTCGATAATCTTCACACAGTCATACATTTGGGAAAACTCAAATTTCTGCTGTTTCACGTCATGAAACATAAGGATTAGATCACAAATACTACAAAATGAATTGCTGAACATATGAGAGGGACAGTCTGATAAGTAATGAGATACAAATTGTCTTGTCTGTTTAGGCCACCCTGTATAAAAAAGATATTCTCCTCAAAATAAAACTCAAAGACTCCGGACGAATTTTTTCTAAACTTCAACTGTGAGAAATCAGTCTTGTTTCATTTTAATAGGTACACCCTGTATAAGGAAGTGCAATTATTTTTGAGACATAACATTCAGTGAAATTTTTCGGAGTGCTCATATTAAAAAAACAAATTTTATTCTACATTTTCTTGCTGACGTGATGGACTGTATTCACGAAAGATCTAAAGTAATTCACATCAGGGAATAATAAACAATACTGAATGTTTTACACTTAGACGTCGGACTGCAAAAACAAACAGATGGTAATGAAATGAAAATGTATATGCCACACAAAATGTTGCGAAATCTTTAGAATGTTTTGCTGCAATGACTAATACCTAGTAATATTCTGAACGATCCAAATACTATCAAAAATTGAAGAACACGGCATTTTTTCGAATAATATTTCATTAGCACTGATTCGATAATGAATTCATTGAAGCAATTGGTAGTTCAAATATTGATTCAACCAATGAAAAATCTATTAACACTCACATCCTAATAAAAGCCTTTATTAGCAAATTGCACTCTGTTATTTTAAATACAGTTTTGCAACAAAGTTTTCAACCCCAATAATTGTATCGTGAAAGGAAACTTTTCTGAATCTTCTTTTCAATGACAGGATAAGTATATGGAAGTGTAAACTTTTACGGAAGGAAACAACTATGCCAAAGCCGGGTTTTTGACCGTGGTCCGCATGTTTATATGCCTGATGTTTCATTTACCACTGCGTTAGACATTATCACAAACAATCGAAGTGCAAACAACTTCGAACATTGTTAGAAGTTGTTTTTTAACGAAACTGATCTTTTCCTTGATTTCATGAATAAGAACTGATCTAAAAATAATCTTTGTGTTGATAACACCTCAATAGATGATAGATATTTAGAGTTCAAATTTTCAACTTGTGACCATCTGTCCTGCTAAGATTTCTGCCTTAGTGCGGCAGGCCTGTATGATTTTAAGATTCGACAGTAGAGAGGGCATCATTCCACCAAGGACTCCAATAATCAGAACAATAATCTTGACAGAATGGTCTGGATAGAGTCTGCAGAGTTCAAAGAGAAAATCTCGATATTTTATCCGTTTTTTCTCCTTTTTTCGGACAATATTTGTGTCGCCAAGAGCTAAAACTCCACGACAAATATCGTCTTGCTCTAATAGTCGAGAAGGACTACATCAGGCTTATTAGCTTGTGTGAGCCTGAGGGTGGGGAACGAATAGTTCTAATAAATTCGGCATTTCTCGTTCCCCACAACGGATTCAATATCCCCCGGAGCGTAGGGCAACACCGGTGACTCGTCAATACCGTAAGAGTGCCGTAGATGGTAAAACAGCACCCTTAGGGCCGTGTTATGTCGATGAATATAGGCCGAGACCGCATATGCTGGACATGCTGATAGCAAGTGCATTAGGGTTTCGGGCGCCTCGCGGCAGGCTCTGCACCTTGTGTCAGGAACCTCTATACCCATCACGCGGTTGCCGTAGACTAAGTTTAAACACACCATCCTGACAAGCCGACTTCAGCCCACTCGACCTGAGGAAAACGAAAGGCAGGTGCTTTGATGAGCCAAGGTCTCAAATGTTATTGAATGTTGTATTTGCGCAGATGTGAGGTGATCTCTGAGGCTTTTATATGAGCGTTTTGCTGAAGGGCTTCCAACTCGGTGACGGAGTTGTGGTCACCTCGTTCAGTGTCGAAAACTGCCGTAAAGAGAAATGCTCCAATTCCTGCTCTCTCATGGTCACGGACCATGCAGAGAAGGGGATACGAACTTCTGACGACTTTACAGGCTGTATCCAGTACCATTCTGTCATGTAGACACTCCAAACTCAAAAAAGTCCACGGCCTCCCTGTTGTTGGGGGAAGTACAACCGTGGAACGGACGATTTGGGATGCAAACTCCTATGGAGATGCATCATTTTTTGGTTCTTTACGTTATTTTTATTATTATTGTTTACAACAAGTTAATATTACATTCTCACTATATTCGAGGAAATATCAATCTTCACTCACCTCCGGAATGGACAGCACGATTACAGATATTCCCAAGATATTCATCGAATCGTCAATATAATCGGAAACTAAAGGAGGACAAGGCTGTTCAAATATATCTTGGGAGTCTGTTACGTGGCAACTTTTCGGCACCACATCCCAGTAGTCAGGCCCATTGAAACCACAACACTTCAGCTGTAAAGAGAGGAATTTAAGCATCGTCATTATAACATACATATTTCACTATTTCCTGTATCAATCAATCAAAACTTCAGTTGAAGAAGTATTCAATTATAATACAGGAGCCTTGTAACATACTAATTTAAATATTACTGGAGTTTTTTCAAGAGGAAGATTAAACTAGTTTGATCTTCCTCCTGAAGATGATCACTTGGTGGTCGAAACACGTGTCGAGGTGTTAAAATAACTCCAGTAATATTCATTACTACACCAAAGGTTCCAAACAGTGCATCAGAAATACTAACTTAGGTAAAACGTCAGATGTGCTTACCAAAGACAGACCAATCAAAATCAAAATCAAAAATCAAAAATCAAAAAATCTTTGTTTCCGTAGACCTAGGGAAGGCATGGAAAAAGTCACATTACTCAGTACAATCACAATGAGGTCACAATCATAAAACAACATAATTATAAGATATACTATATAACATTTAGACCATAAAAGGGATACAAAAATTAAAATTTAAAATTCCAAATCAGACTGAAAAAATTCATCAAGCGAATAAAATAACTTTTCACATAATACTTTCCGAACTTTTTGTTTAAAGAGCTTTACACTAGTTATTTTTTTAATGGATATTGGGAGCTTGTTGTACAGTTTTATTGACATGATATGAGGTCCATTAGTGACCTTGGCTAACTTATGACTAGGAATTAAAATGTTATAGTTTTTTCTCAAGGTGAAGCCCGAAAGAAGACATGTATCATCTCTGTTCTGAAACTTGGAGCAATTTGATTTAACGTAGATTACGCAATTAAGAATATACATGCAAGTAACAGTTAATATATTCAACTTTGCAAAAAGTGGTTTACAGGAATCGAGTGGTTTTTTAAAACAAATTGTTCTAATAATCTTTTTCTGGAAAATTAATAAGTCACTGATTCTATTGCAGTTGCCAAAACAAATAATACAGTAATTGAGGGCAGAGTAAACATATGCATAATAGTAACTTTTAAGAATTTCAATAGACACAAAATTACGCAGATTCCATATAACGAAACAGTGTGTCGCTAATTTCTTCAGTATGAAATCAACATGATGATTCCAATTGAGTTGGGAATCAATAAAAATTACCTGTTCAATACTTTTAATCTCAGACCTAACCAATACACTACAATCAGTTTCCTGAATTGTAAAGAGAATGGTGTTGGTTTTAAGATTATTTAGAATCAAGCCATTTTTAGAACAATAATTTTGCATGTTGGATACAGCATCATTTGCTCTTACTGACAATGTTTCACATTCCGAACCACTGACAGTAAAAGATGTGTCATCAGCAAATCAACAAATCATCAGCAAATCAACCTAACATTAAGCTTAAAATTAAAACTAGACTATCAGAGTCAAAAATGAGTATTTTTAAACAGATGAATAATTCTTGTAAACAGAAAAGTATGCACAAATCACAATTACTAGCACCGTTATACCTAAAAACATATTAAGAGCAGCTGTTTTTTAACAATCGGTGAGAAGAAGTTCATTTCTGCAAAAATTCGTGAGCATTATAGGGTCTGACACCCATCGATTCCGGATGATTCTGCGACACTGATAATGTAGTAAATGGTTGTTGTAGTTTATGTTTATTTCTAGTCATGAGATTGTCCAGAAGTAGGAACATCACTTTTTCCCCACATAGAAAATACAGTGGTATATAAACAAACATGGTAGAGTCATTATACCAATTTTGGTAAAGAGTGGTTAGCAATGTTCTCTTAGGCGAACCGTCATCAATAACCTCACTGCTTTTTTTTAATGACGAGTATTTCTTGTGCCTTGGATGTAGCACCCCAATGAATCCAAGAGAGAGAGTGTGTTTCAGTTGACGGAGTAAAAATATATGTTTACCAAGCTTGCATTTTATATACTCAATATAATTGTTCCACGTGAGTTTAGAATCAATATTGATTCCTAGAAATATCAAGTAAAAGACTTGTCGAATTGACGTGTTGTTCAGTTCCACTAAGTAGCTGCTATCTTTCGAAGAATTTTTTGAAGAAGAAGAAGATCAAACTTCTACCTCTATAAGATGGTCACTTGATGATTGAAACATTTGTCGAGGTGTTAAAATAACTGTTCGGTGTTGGGAAAAAACTCCAGTAATATTCTTTAATAATGTAAACGTTATAAAATGATTTATACTACACTCAAAATTCATATCTTACCCTGTGTTGTATCAGATCCACTACTGCCTTATTTTCGAAATGGTAATTATAGTTTTGAAAGACCACTTCCAATGTAAGGTTGAGTTTTCCTCTGAAAACTCCCATATCACCAAGTTGGTAAAATGAGCTAATGCCCACTGTTAGCTGAACGGCAAACAAGACAAACAAAACAGTGGTGTACTGAAACAAAAAGAATTAATAATAGGTGTAAGGTTGTTTCAAAAATGTTGTACGTTCATATGAGTCTACTCAAAATTGTAATATCTCAGTGAACAATCATTCAATTTATTCGAAATAAACGCCATTTGAATCTCTCGCCAACGTAACACAAGTCGATTAATTTCGTCAGCATGAAAAAGGGTGCTCGGCCGGGATTCAATGAAGTCGACGAAGGCCGATTTCGCCTGGTCCTGATTGACGAAGGTTTTACTGGTGACGAAGTTATCAAAGTGCTTGAGAAGATGGTAGCCGGCTGGCGAGAGGTCTGAGAAGTATAGTAGGTGAGTCAAAACTTCGACGATCAATTGTTTGATTTTCGAACGCTGATTTGTGAAACGTACGGACGAGCGTTGTCGTAGAGCAGAATTGGACCAGTTCTGTTGACCAGTGCCGGCTATTGCTGATGCAGTTTTCGGTACATTCCATCGATTTTCTTTTTTTGTTGCGTTTTCGTCGTCTTTGGGAACTGCCTGAGGACTTATCGTTGTCCAACCATTGTCCTGAACGTCTGGTCCAATACGTTTTTAATCATCAAACGCCGTATCAGAGCTGACGCCCAGTTCATCCGCCATAACACGCACCGTTTGTCATGAGTCAGGCTCAACCAGGGTCCTCAAATCCTGGTCCTGAATTACTGTAGATATACCACTTCGGGTCTTAAATCTCCAGAACGAAATTTCGCATCAACACTATCATTGCCAAATTCCTGTTTAATTTTCCGAGCTGTTTCGGCAGTGCTTTGGTTCAATTTGAATTCATAGACAAAATTGGCCGAAAATCGGTCAACGACATCACATAGTTATAAGCTGAAAAGAGGCAAAAAAACGCTGGTATTGAAGTATTTGACTAAAGGAGGAGTTTTATTGACTGATTATCAAAAACTGCGCGATCGATTCGTCATAAATATGATTATCCTACCGACTGCGCCAAAAACATTTATAAGTAATGATAATTCCTTTTTAGAAAGATTTATTTATTTACGAAATACAACTATCAAGCTCAAAGAACGATGTTAACAGTATGAATGCTAGTAACTGACTGACTTGAATAAAACAAATGAAAAACAAGTAATTTCTGCAGTCAGGAGATAATGCTGAGTTCGCTTCTTCTCTGGTGGTGGCATGATGTAATTTTTGTGTTCTTAAAAAACCGAGGAAGTATTATTATTGATGTAGAAGTGAGGTATTATGCTTCAGGTAATCATAATTGAAGAAGTACCTCAAGTACATAAGAATTGTAGAGGTTTAGGTAATTTTTAGAGGTAGTCCCAATTATAGTTACGTGAGGTATATAAATATTAGCATAAGAAGCAACTTGTAGTTTCCAAATTGCTGTTGAAGAAACTACTGTGTTAGCGAAACATGTCAAGTAAAGTTTGTGAAGATCAAATCTTGAGATGTAGTTTATGAAATTATCAGAAAAGACATTTCGTAATTTGAGGTGGATTCCAGAGCATCTGCATATGAACCGAAAACAAAACAGGAATCGACCGTGTGGGTATTCCAAAATGAGCCAAATCAAACAAAAGTTGTTTGTTGAAGAAGCACAGCGAAGTAAATGGTCGCCTGTTTCTTCGACCGAATGGGTCATGTGGCCACTGTTTCGCTTGTCTTCGGAGAAATTCGTAAAACTAACCGCCGAAGACGAATCAATCACCATCATGGCAATGCGAGCTCTCACACACATCTCGTCAAAAACGAGTATTTTGAGCAGTCATAACATCGAATTGATGACTCATCCTCCGTACAATCCTGATTTGGCACCTATTGACTTATCGTTCTCGAATATCAAAGATAAACTGTGTGGTCAACGATTTATGAGCGCCGAAGAAATAGTCGAAGCGTTCAAAAACCATCTTATAGATGTGTCTCAAGAGGACTGGAAAAACTGCTTCTACAAATGCTTTGAACGAATACAAAAGTGTATTGATCATCAAGGAAAATATTTCGAAGAACAATAAAGCCATTTTCATTAAAAAATGTTTGTTATTATTAGCTATTCCCGAAATATATATAGTAGCCCTCGTCTTGTTATCCAACCATGTCACAGATAGTGCAAGTGTATCGAAATTATACTGATCAATACAATCGATCAATTCATTCATTTTTGGAATGAGTGACTGTATTTTCGAATTTTCTAATGATACTACGCTCTCAGCTACGTGACGTAGCTGAGAGCGTGGGAATATCCAATATTACCTGCCGCTCGAGAACGATCAAGAAGCATGCTACCGATGTGGATAGAACTTCGGCGAAATTCTAAGATATTCCATTGCGATATTTAAACGCTGGCTGCAAGCGTATTCAGTCAGACAAGTACACAGTGAAGTGGACGTAACAGTGCGGTACGCGAAGTGATCTAATAAGGCGATAGACATGCAAATAATAGTTGAAATGTTTAGTTGAAGTGTTTGTTGAATTCCAAGTGAAATAAAGTTAAGTTTGATTATTCAGTGTAGTCAATTATTAGTGAACCCACTGGGAAAAATGTAACAATACGTTTTTATAATTTGAATTCATGCAAATAAGTATGCCGGTAAACTAGTGGTACATATAGTGGGTGATTCAGTTTTTAAAAAATTACATGTCCTTACATTTTACCTGATTACCTTCATGTTTTTCAAATTCACTGTTAGTAAAGACACTGGTCTACAGCTATTTCGACCTCGTACAGGCTCCCAACAAAAAAGAAAAAACCTAGTATGGACTAACATGAAAGGATAGTAAGACAGTGAGTGGCTGTAGTAAACTTGTTTGATGCAATTACGCCACCATCTAGTATTTTAACGCTCTTATCCTTATACTATAGTAATAATCCAGAATAAACAGTATGCAACCTGAACAATAAACCTAGTGAATAAGAATATGATTCTAGTACATTTTTGAGTTTACCAATGCCACGAAGTTGAATTTCTCTGCCAAGCATCCATAACACCCAAAAATCGCTATCACTATCAGGAGAGTTCCCATGGGAATGGTTAATACTGGTATGAGGACGATGTTCTGATAGTCCTTAGGTACGGCATAAGAGAATTCTTCCAAATTTATTTTGTAGGTTATACCAAGAGACAGCAAACATATTCCGATTAACTGAAATAATAAGTATGGAGTAAAGAACAATGTTTTCATAACCTTTTTCTATTATGTCAAATATACAAATTTTTTGAGTTCTCACGGTGATTTGACTTATGATAATTAACTAAAATCGATATCGCAATAATTGTGATATCAGATTCATTCACTTGAAAAGTTTTTCGGAAGAATGGAATTTGTCACAATCTATCAATCTGTTTTAATTGGTTCCCGGGTTTAACAGTGGTTATAATCACCAAACTGAAAATTTCAGTTGACACGTACTTCGACCATGCCACTGAAGATGGCTGCCGCAGTTGCAGTCGAAACTTTTGGAGATCATAACCAAAGAAGACCACGAAAAACCCGGAAACCCACCAAAACGTTGACGCCAGCCGTAAAAGCCTATGTTCTTATATTAATCTATCAATCAATAAAATTATTTATTAACCATAGATCACAAAAGTGATATAAGGATCGTCAGTAACAAAGTTATAAAAATATACATAATATATACTGTGGAAACAAATACAGTACATATACACTATCGAAATATACTCCAAACATAACATATATTAATTGAGTAGAACTGGCCGATACTAGATGGAAATCCATATTAAAACTAATCAATACAGTTAATTGTATGATTTTCACTATGAAGGATTTTACAAAAACCGCGACTTGTGTTTCGATATACCATAGCTTTCTCAAGGTTAGGCTTATATCGCACCCTTAGAATGGAAGTGACTTAACTCAAAATTAATGTAATACTCGATTTTACCATAAACTGACCTTATAAAGCAAACTCTATAACCCTGTAAAGAAAAAGTCACCTATCTCTAAGTATAACAGGGACAGCGCATGTTTCGGTCTCTTTTACTGTTCCCGCTATTCATTTATGCATGTTGTGTGAAAGAGGCAGAACTAGTATTAAGTCAGAAGTGTTTTCTAGTGGACGTGTAAAACATCGGCGGATCTCGAATTTAACTGAAAAAGATTTTAGTTATTTCTTAAATTTGTTGAAGTTTTTCTGTGTTTTGACACAAAAGGTAGACAATTGAAAAACGTTGATCCAGTATATTATGAAGGAGTGTTTTCATATAAACTAGCTTTATGTTGTTTGAGCCTTAATAATTCACCTTTTCTTGAGGGATTAGTGTACCATTGCAAAGTCGTTTCGATGCTATTTTTATTTTTCTTTACGTATATTGGAGAATGGTATATATAAATAGCCGAAACCATTAATATACTACTTTTTATGAAAGTTGGTTTGCAGGATCAATCCTACTTTGAGTCGAATATCATCCAAACGAGTATTACTCGTTTTTGTAAAACAAAAATTCGATTGATTTCACTATTAATTCCCCATGAAGTTATATTATACGATATGATAGAGCTGATCAAGACATAGCATGTATGTCAATATGGGACTTTCTATCTAAAGTTCCTTTGAGTTGTAGCATAGCATAAAAATGCTATGCTCAATATGTTTCTGCCAGTTGAGATTATAATCCACTCAAGTTCCCAAAAATGTTGAAGATTCTGATGGTTTGATGGACTCATCAATAAAAACATTCAAAGAAAAGTTTTCTGACTTTTTTCCAAAAACTGAGTCGATACTGTTCAGCTTGCCTTCTTAATAATTTTGTTAGACGCACACCAAGCTTTGAAAAGGTCTGTATTTGAGGTTCCTCTGGTGTTCGAACTTCTTCGGCTACAGATTTGTCATCTGCGTATAAAATCATCATTTTAGTCCTAAAGTGTATAGGAAGGTCATTAATGATGAAAAATTGAAAAAACCCAGTCGCCCTCAAAATGAACCTTACGAAACATCTTAATATAAGACATTTTTACCCTCACTTCAAGATATCAAATGATCAAGTGGAGAGATGTTAACAAAACAATTGAAAATAAAAAAGACATTCAATGGTATAACCTTTCACGACCGGAAATAACTGTGACGAACTTGCGCTGACAAAGAAGACATATTATTATTAAATGAAACCCTAATATTTTCCTAAAAAGTGAGCCAATTTTCAAAGCAAAGTAGCACTAGATAGGAATCGAAAAGCCCTTTTCAATGAAATATCTCATTGAAGGTTTTGAAATTGTTTTTGAGCCAGAACTTGACGTGATTAAGGATTTTTGTTTTGTCCCTGCCTTGTTCAACGTTTTTTAGGACCACCCTGTATACAATGATCAAATAAATCTACTCTATCTAATGACATAATTGATGAATGTGATAGTACTTATTATATATCAAAAACCACGAATGAAAACTGAAACAATTAACAATCAAAAAATTTACGAAGTTAAATGAATTTGAAAATATATTCAATGTATTGTATTGATGAAGATTTGTTAGTGAGTGTCATTACTTTACTTTCGTTTTCGTTAATTTCAAATCTTAAATGGAAAGTTTGTTTTTGGTTGAAAACTGTATCAATTCTATACCTTGTTAATGCCGTAATAGTTATTTCAAAGTCATTTTGAGATTACTATAACGGGCCAATTGTTCAAATAACCTTAACGTTCTCATTATTAACGTTCCATTAGAAAGTGGACCGATTACGCCTCGATAAAAAACATAAAAATAAACAATATACTCACAGCAAGAAAGAAGTTAGACCAAAACACAACACACTTCACGATGTCATCGTCATACGCCATTTTTCTGATATTTTCAATGAACGAAGGTAATCATTATAGTTTTTATTTACATTGTTCGCATATAAAGTTATCGAAAAGTGGCTTAGGCAGTCGAATACATCTCGATATTTGGAATAACTGTGGCTCACTGATTGCATGTAGAGAGAGCGTTAAAAATAGATATTGGATTGGTCGAAAATTACTGCATGTTTTCGCAACATACTAGGTGTATCAAAAGTGATGAATTGGCGATATAGGTACAAGGAGGTGCAGAATGTGATTGTTGGAATTCACAATAATATTTACACCACTGATAATTGGTTTTTGGGAACCAGCTGTCACACCCCTACGAATCGCACCCCTACGAACGACAACCCTCAGAAGTCGAAACTTGTGCGAGCTAAGGACTAACGGGGTCTTACCTTTTAACGTGTGATTCCTAACATAGGTTGGACAATAACAAGTGAAAATCGATCGTTCAGCCTGGGGCTTGAACCATCTGCCACTCAATAGTCCAAACTGTGTTTAGGAAGCCACTTGTTTAATCGCTTATTTCAATAAAAATAACAGAATAAAAACTTATATTTCCCATTGGTAAAATCGAGTTCTGAAATATATTATCGCTTCACTACAGTTCTTCTAGTTGTTCTATTGGCAACATACAAAAAGACAAACTCAACGGTATTATGTTGACATTTTTTTTAAATGTTGCTCAGCTTTCATGGAAACAAAATTCAATCTAATCTAGCTATATAATGATTCAACTCAGTCCAAGTAGAACTTGAAAAAATATCACCTACTATCTTGAAATGAATTTGCGATGAATAATATATTTTCTATAGTTCTAGTTACAAGAACCGAAAAAGTTCACAATAGAGATTGAACAAGATGGTCAACTTCCTTTCATTGATGTACTGTTGAAGATACACCTCCACTACACATCAAAACAACATGCGTGGGTTAAAAGAAGTACAATGAATCATTGGCTGAATTGTTTAAAGAAAAAGTGTCATTGATAAAAACTATTTAACAAAAAATGCAATGAAAAATAAACATTCATGGAAAGACCAAATGAACTCACGAACAGCATCACGGATTCTACCCAACAATTTCCGAAACCTTTCACAACTGATCCACTTACATAAAACACTGTCATTATCAATGGCAGGTGTCTTATTCCGAAATATCGATATACGCCATTGAAGATGACAGTGTTCCGTGTAAGTAAAATTGTACCTCTTCCAAATACTATATTGTGTAGCAATCCTGTAAGTGATATCTGATTCAATTCCATAACAAATGTTTGGAGTACAACTGAATAGGAAATAGTGTTTTTCAATTTCAGTGTTGATAAAACAGTAGTATTTTTCCTTCCGTGTAGTTCAATGTTTCTATGAAAGTAATTGTTTCTAGAAAGCTTTTTTCTAGTTTGTGTTTAAGAGTTACTTCTTTGCATGAAGTGCATATTTGTGAAGGATTTTATAAAATTAATTGCTTTCTTTCTTTCTTTGACAGATTCACACATTTTTCTGTATAAAGATGGAAAAGTAGAAAGCCAGAACCTTTCTTTCCCAAAAATCAGTCTCTCCTAAATTAAATACACCTTTCTATTCGAAAATTAATGGCTATTTATAATACAGGAATTCAACGGAGAAGTGACTCACATGTGGGAGTATTTTATTGCCTCGTTTGCTTCTAGAGAACCTGGATAATATCCAAATTATTTCCACTTATCCGAATTGAAATTGATTCTTTATTTATCAAATCAATCAAAGATGTGGCCAATATGATCCACCGGTGTTATAAAATTAGTAATACTCCATCCAGAAAAGAACCATCTGCCTGATTCGAGACGCGAACATCACTTGCAACCTTGATAGTCTGGAACATCGAAGACGGGTTGGAGCACTACAAATGTAGTGCGTAATAAATGTGGGTTTTCCTGGAATTTGGTCAGGTCACAGATAATTCACAGTTTTTGGCAGTGCATTTCTTCAATGTCCCCCCCCTGCTTTTATTTTTTGAACGGATCACTTCAAAAAATGGAAATTTGGTATAATGAAAGTAATGCATAAATACTTTATTTTGAAGTGAAATTGACAGATGAAACTTTCAAAATGGCGACTGGGCGCCATCTGGGAAAAAAAAATAAATGGGCACATTTGTCACAGATGTGACACATCTTTTTGAAGCTCCTGAAAAATGCTCCACAACCCTAGAATATAATGTCAATATCTTCAACTACTACAAAATGGCAGAACTTTTAATAATTGCCTGTATACATTGACATTTAAATACATAATATGAGGCAATAAGCATGAGGACAGTCCAGAAGATGCTTGAAATGGTTGCTTTGAACTTCTTGACATATGAACAGCCTATTCGATATTTCACGTCGAACATTTTTGAACTACAAATATTTATTATTCTCTGCCATATATCCAATATTGAAGCAGGTTCAGTTTCGTACACATTTTGCTTCAAATAGATCCAACTTTCAAGATGACGCCCAGTCGCCATCTTGAAAGTTTCATCTGTCAATTTTACTTTGAAATAAAGTATTTATGCATTAATTTCATTATCCCAAATTTCAATTTTTTGAGTTGACCCATTCAAAAAATAAAAGGGGGGGAACATTAAAGAAATTCACTGTATATTATTGAGTTCAATAATTATAAAAGACGTTAACCGAATAGACTCAAATTATCTAATAAAAAAATCGTAAAATGTGTAAAAATTGAAGGCAATTAAAATTTCACTTTTTCAACGAATATTTTTTTGCCTTGACGATTGAACTACATTCGTATCATTGATGTGTATAAATTACTTTTAGACATAAACTACCGTTTCGAAAATATATAGTTCATGAAGTTACCTTGTATAGGGCTGAAAACAAATAAACTCTGCATCACCCATTATCAATTTTTATTAGTCCTATTTCGATTTTGTAGAAAAATACACATTCATTTCGATGTTTTTGCAAAAAAACCGTATCTGAAATAAATCATTGTCAAAAATAGGGATCCTTATGATTGCACTGAGGCTCATTTTGCAATACTGGTGGAATTTACAAAAAAAAATTCAAAATCATCTTATTTTACACATATAGGTACTCAACATCTTATTCAGTAAAACTTTTTCTAATATTTTTTAATTTTGAGAAATAACTACTTCAAGGATTTTCATAGAAAAAGTGAATTTGATTGATGGGAATCACGTGACTACATTTTGTTGAGTTATTTTTCACCCCAATTTAATCGAAACTTGTTGCCAAAATCAAATTTTGAATGGAACTATTAATAAAAAAATTCCTATTTAATGCGTACTTCGACTGGTCACACTGTATGTGTAATTTATTTATATTACCCGAAATTGTTATTCGACGCAGTGGTTGACTATGTTATCAAATAATCCTAGGGATTTTCACCATCTGTTCTATTCCAGGCAGGGTTACTCAGAACGCTAATCTAAATTATCGTATTTTTAGAAAACACTATTATATCCAAAAATAAAAATTGCATATTCTCATGCGCCAAGGGAATTTTCAACGCATAATTTCACAGAAAATTTTGAATAACTACTTCACAACAAGTAGTAGCCTTATTAAGATTATGAACGAACCAATAAGAATTTCTGATCAAGATAGCGAATTTCCTATATACGTATCATTTTGTGAGCTAATGATTGAAGCAGACTTGAAGTCCTTTCGTCCATACACATTTTCATTCGAAATAAACAACAATATAACAAATCAATAAAAATGACCTGCCTAGTGCCGATAATCAAAATTTATATCCACCACAGATTGACACTTTAAATAAAGTAATGCCACCAACCGTTTCTACATAGCTAACTTTGTTTACAGAAACACTGACAAAATACCAAAACCTTTTGATCTTTCTGCCTGCCGAAGTAACATTTCGTTGTTGACAAAAACAGTCGTCCGCGACACAAAGTCTTCAAAATGTTTCTTATTTTGACAACTCAGGTTTTTGTTTGTTAATGTTGGCGCCGCGTATCAAAAGATAGCACTTACAAGTTTACAGATCGATAATGGCGATTTCCAAATATGATGGTTATGATAAATAACCTGTTGAAACAGATGGCGATGAAGATAGAACTGCTGAATAATAACTATTTTAATCTCGAATTTCATCAAACACTCATTCTGAAATTAATTTGAGAATATCAATTACGCTACATGGTATAGGATGGAGCATCGAAAACACACCGCAAGGCATAAATAAGACACAAATTTTCGCAAATTGTCAACAACACGACATTTTTTTTCTGGTTTCCGACAATTGTATGTTGTCTTCAGTTATTTCTGCACCGAGAGACTGAAGAAAGCAACAACAAAGACAGTTTCAAGTGGTTCTTGAAAAGCAGAAGCCGAAACGTCGAACAGTAAAAAACTACAGACGTAGTTCAACTCGGACTACTCATAAAGTACACCGGAACTAATAGTATGCAACTCACAATGTAGCAGTCAAGAACTCGAAACTCAGAATGAACATATGGCGCCATCTAACAGTTACCTATCACACTAAATTGTATTCGACACGAACCATTTTAGTCCATTTGAGTTGAAAATTAACGCTAAATAAGAGCATAGTTGACATACCTATGAATCTTGAAATATGCAGGTAGGTTCTTTGTAAATAAGCATCAAGAAAGGGAATCAGGAATTTCCACCAACAAGGGGAAAAATAGGGATTCAAAGATTGTATTGAATTTTGTCAGTTTTGAAGTTGAAAACCTGAAATTTGGGGTTAATAACTATTTGTTTAAAATTGTCTGTCACGATTCTTAATGTGACAAAGCAAATTCTACGTGGGCGAAGCCGCGGGTAATGAATAGCTTCGAGAATCGAATTATGTTGCCTATACAGAAATTTCGCCAAAACTAACACAAGCGTCAACGACGTCTGCCCGCGTTCGGCTCCCGTTTTCGGCGTGGTGCTTTATTGCTTAGACCGCTGCGCATCGTCCCCCGTCGTCCTACAGTGGACGCGACGCGTAATGTCCTACTGCGTTGCGACAAGTTCATCTTATTATGATAACTTTTAAACAATTGGTCCAAAATTCTTAGTGTAAGAGACAAAATGGATCTATAATAAATATTAAAACGACAATTGTGTCAATTTTTTTAAGAATTTGACAGATATTCTAAAATGTGCATTATGAAAAA